TTTCTTTTGGCCCAATCCTCCAATTTGTCTAGGTCCTTCTGTATCCTATCCCTGCCCTCCAGCGTATCTACCACTCCTCCCAGTTTAGTATCATCCGCAAATTTGCTGAGAGTGCAATCCACACCATCCTCCAGATCGTTTATGAAGATATTGAACAAAACCAGCCCCAGGACCGACCCTTGGGGCACTCCACTTGACACCGGCTGCCAACTAGACATGGAGCCATTGATCACTACCCGTTGAGCCCGACAATCTAGCCAACTTTCTACCCACCTTATAGTGCATTCATCCAGCCCATACTTCTTTAACTTGCTGACAAGAATACTGTGGGAGACCGTGTCAAAAGCTTTGCTAAAGTCAAGATACAATACATCCACTGCTTTCCCTTCATCCACAGAACCAGTAATCTCATCATAAAAGGCGATTAGATTAGTCAGGCATGACCTTCCCTTGGTGAATCCATGCTTGGTGAATCCATCCATTCTTTAATTTTAATAAACCTTTATTTTAGATACTAAAGGATTGGCTGGCAGCGTGGTATTTTGGGCAAGATCCAACCTAATACTCACCAAGCAATGTGGCTGGCCCTGTGGGGTTCAGAAGAAAATTTTGTAGTGAGAAGAGTTTTTAAGTAACTCCTCACCTTTCTGCACCTAGGTCCTGACTGGGAGCCAGAGAACTGGAATGCAATAAAGGGGGCTGTGTGGTTTCTTTTTTTTGCTTCTTGATAACCAGTGTGGGGGATCAGAAGCACAGTTTGTGACTGGTTGAAGAGTTTAACTTTCGTGTTAACCACCAGTCTTGGGAATGTCTGCTCTCCCTTTTGCAGGTTGCCCTGACCTTGGCATTTCCAGTGAGGGCTACCCTAGGCACACCGGGTCACACGATGTACCAATAAACTTGGAAAATGTGGCCACAACTAATAGATTCTGCTTCCTACATAGCTAAGTGGGCATGGAGATTAAACTCAATTGGAAAACGGAGCTGCTACATAATACCTGTCCTGCTGATCTGATTAACGTTGCGCTGTCAGCAGCTACTGCTACAGAATCATAGAATTATCAGGGTTGGAAGAGACCTCAGGAGGTCATCTAGTCCAACCCCCTGCTCAAAACAGGACCAACACCACCAAGAAGAAATGAAAGACCTGAAATCTTGCATCATTGGATTCGGGGCCATTTTCAAGCATGCAAACAAGTTGAAGGCTTTGTTTTACACAGTGCGAGAAGAGTACAGAGACAACTGCTGCTTACTTACCCCTGTTGTGCCACATCAGTGGATGAGCTTGTACTTTGCTACCTGTCATGTAAATAACATGTAGCCTGGGCTAATGCATCTCCTTGATCACGGGTTCTCCACCTTTTTCTTTCTGAAGATCCCCTAAACATGCTATAAAAACTGCAGGATCTGGGCGGAGGGGACTTGGGACTCCAGGGCAGGAGGGGACCTCAGGCATAGGCGTAGTTTAACTTCTGTATTTGGGGGGCAGGGGCTGGTGGGGCTCAGGCCATCTCCACATGGCAGGGTCCAGGGAGGGAGCGCAACCTCCACCCCCTAACTCACCTGTCTGGGTCGTGGTGGAGCAATGAAAAATTATAACTCAAGGGGTGGGGCTCAGCTCAAAAAATTTGAAAGTTGCTCAGGATGCATGCGCCGGGGAGCTAGGGGCTGTGTGCAGGGAGGGGATAGCTAGGGGCTGCGTGCGGGCAGAGGGGTAGCTCAGGGTGCAGAGAGGGGGTAGCTAGGGGCTGTGTGCGAGCAGAGGGGTAGCTCAGGGTGCAGGGAGGGGGTAGCTAGGGGCTGCGTGCGAGCAGAGGGGTAGCTCAGGGTGAAGGCGGAGGTAGCTAGGGGCTGTGCAGGCAGGGGGTAACTCAGGGTGCAGAGACGGATTAGCTAGGGGCTGTGTGTGGGCAGAGGGGTAGCTTGGGAGGGCCCCCTTGTCATCACTCCTACCCAAGGACTCTGCATCCTCTGAGCTGGATCCCCCTGCCTGGGGGGCTCTTACTGACTGCATGAGCAGTCAAAGTGGGCTGGGAGCTTAGGAGCAGCTGCAATCCCAGGCAGCAGCAGGAGATGGGACCACCGCTGCTGCCTGCTCCATGGCACCATCCAGAGCAGCAGCTGCCCCACACTGCCCGGCTTTGACTTCCTGCCGCCACAGGTGCTGGAACTAGGTGTTGAAGTGGATTCCATTCTATACATGGTTTACAATTTGGTTCAATGGCTCTCAGCACCCCCACTATAGAAATTGTTCCTGCACCCCTACCCGCCTCCGACCCCTTCCCTTCCCTTCTCTTCCCCCTACCCCTTCAACTCCACCCTTGGGCTCAGAGCTTTTGCCCCGCTGAGAGCACTGGGGCTCAGGGCTTCAGCCCCACAGCTCCCAGCTTTAGCCCTGCATGGGCTCCAGGTTTCAGTCCCTCGGCTTCCAGCTTCAGCCCTGCAGGGGGCGTTGGGGCCGCCACAGACCCCCGATTGAGAATCACTGTCTTAGATCATGCTGAGTTTGTTGGTTCTAAAGCAGAAACTCTGAAGAGGCTGGCAAATAACTGAAATGACCACCAGATTCTGCGCACCAAGGTAATTTCATAATGGAAAACTTAGAATCACTGTGTAACACACAGAAAACACGAGTTTTCTCCAGTTACTGCCAACACGTTTGCCACTACAGATATTTACTGGATCCTAACAACCAAAATCTCAACTAAATTTAGCACAAAAGCCGCAGGAGAAACATATGGTGAGAAAACTCAGCTGTTTTTGGAAATCCTTCTGACCCCCGTAACATGAGAAAACTAAAAAATTGTTCAAAAGCTTCAACACAACGCTCAGTGAGAAATGGGAGAGAACTGTGACCCTGAAATGTTTGGTATGTCCAGAATTGAAACAAAACTAAATTGCAAAATACCAAACTTTCTTGTGAAACCCCAAAGTTTCAGCCAGCTCTAGTTGTGAGTGTGACCCTGGCAGGAAGCAAGAGGCAGGGCTTCCTTTTGAATGCAGTACTTTTTGGGGAGAGAGGCCATGTCTACACTAAAGAGCCTACAGCAGCACAGCTGTACTGGGAGAGATCTGTCCTGTCAACATAATTAAACCACCTCCAACAAATGGCAGTAGCTAGGGTGGCGAAAGAAGCGCTCCCACCACCCTTGCACTGTCCATACTAGTGCTTCTGTCGGTGTAACTTATGTTGCTCGGGGGGGGGGGGGGGGTTGTCACACCCCTGAGCTACATATGTTATAGTGACAGAAGTGCTAGTGTAGACATGTCCTTTGATTTCTGAATAAGGAAACTGCCTGCTGTTGTTTGTTTCTGCTGTGTTCATGGAAACAGGCCTGTGCGGCCATTCTTTGTAAATGAACGGGATTGCACCAAGGAAATAATGACCCAAATAATCAGTTTCTTCACCTAAAGTCTCTTTAGACAGTCATTTCAATACCCTCAGCCAAGTCCATGGAGCACGTTGAAGACAGGGACTGAGACCTTGAACTTGTTTAAATTCTATAGGGAGCCAGAGTAGGCAATGCAGGACAGGTTTGATGTGTTCATGGTAGCCAGTTTCTGAGGAGACACACTGAAGCATTTTGTACTAGTTGGAGTTTCCTAGGTGCTGAAGGCTTCAGGCCCAATATATTGCCTGGTTGCTGCTTTGTAACATGCAGGAAAATAACCTGCTAGCAGAGAGATGTGGAGTTTCCCCATTCATCAATGCTTAGTGCAGGAATCAGGACTCCTGGGTTCTGTGCTGACTGAATTATTTATACCAAAGCAGGAGGGGGTTGCACTATTTGGCAGTGCTGCAGCTTCGCTGCTAATTTTTATTTAATCAAACCCCAGCCACAGGGCTATGTGCAGTAATGTATCCAAGAGTGGTTTGTTCTGGCGTTTTAACCACCTATCCAGGTTGTGCAACACACTCTGAAGAAGGGGAGCCCTGAACATGCTCAGGCTTGTCCCTTCAACCTGTTCCCAGTTGGAGCTAGAGGGGTACATAGGTCCCTGCACCCATGCTGGTCATACAGGCAGTGGGGCTAGGATCAGGGCACAGGCAAATCTGACCAGCATATGGGACCAGTTCACACAGGTCTGGGGCTGCCCAGAGCCATTAGCTCCTTCTGCTTGCCCTCTGATCACCTCAAATACCACTAGTCTTCTTCTCCCACTCCTAGCTTCACCTCTGTCTGTTCTTCTATTGCCCTATGCATCTGTCTGTCTATCACCATAAACACCTGGCTATCTATTTATCCCCATTCACTCCACACCACCACCACCATAGAGTCCGACAGATGAATTGACCTCAGTTTAAGTGACTGACACTGGAATGTGTGTGGCCTCAGCTGGGGAATTTGAAAACATTTCCCATGTAAGCCACTGGGGATTTATGTAAACACAATGAAGCAATCACATGGGCGCAGCGGAGGATCAGGAAAGGCAAAGGGGCCCTTCACCATGCTAAACCAAGAAGTGTATTGTATTGAGTTTTGTATTTTACAGTTCCTTGTGTGCAAAGGGTCACTTTTCGCCCCCCCTTCTGTGGGGATGAGCCTGCCCTCCCTGAGATGGCCAGAAGGACTCCATCTTCCCCCAGGTCTCATTGTAGATAGTAGCTGCTTCAGAGTTAATGTGACAAGGGGGCCACAATAGATAGAAACAGGCTCCAAGGAGATGGATTAACAGAAATGGGAACAGAATTCAGGATTCCTGACATCCAGCCATTCTCACAGTCAGGAATACAACCCAGGCATCCTGACTCCCAGCCTGTCCCAGAGTTGGGAATAGAATCCAGGAGCCCTGACACTCAGACCTCCTTCACCCAATCTTGTCACTAGAATCCCCACTCCCATCCCAGAGCGAGGGATAGAACCTAGGAGTTCTACTCCTACTCTGCTGCTACTCTGAAACCTAGGAGTCCTGACTCTCAGCCCCCCCCTTCCCCCCCCCAAGATCCTATTGTCGTCTCTAAATAAAACTTGTGACCCTTTTGTCATTAGACTGTCAGATAGCTTTATTCAGGAAAACCTGCTCCCAGCACCCTAAGGTGCAATCCCACAAGGGGGAACAACACTCCCCCACAATTAAAGACCCACTTTGGAGCTAGTTAAGAAGGAGAAGCAGTTGCTCACAGAGGATTTCAATGAGGTGCTAAATCTGCAGGGGCCTAATGTGACTGCAGTACACCCCATCTAGCAGGTCCAGGGCATCCCAAGGTGCTCCTTCATCTACTTCCCACATTGCATCCTTCCACCCACTGTGAGAGGTCATGGCCCTCACAGTGTTTCCTCCAGGCCAGCCTGAGAAGGATAAACAAAGAAAGCAAGGTCAGCAAGATCAGCTGGCATTGAGAGCAGTGCTGTCGCATGGGGATGGGCCAGTCCTAAGATGCAGCCCTCTGGGGGGGGCAGCTGGGTAACAGCTATGCAGGGTTTACTCACCAGGCTCTGAGATGCAGCTGCCTTTCGAGTGGGGCAGCCAGGTTACAACCACACAGTGAAAATGTATGGGGATAACTCCCAGGGTGCTGAGCAGTAGTTGCCTCCGGGGTGGAGCATTTGGGGAACAGCAACACTGCAGAAGGATTGCTTGTCCAGCACTGAGATGCAGCTGCCTATGGGCAGGGCAGCATGGTAACAGCCTTGTTGCTCTGTGGAGTTTTGTCTTTTGTTTGGTTGTATAAACAAAGTACTGCGCTACACTGTATGTTTTCTTTACACTGCATTGTATCGTGGGGTTGTCTGGTGTAGTGCCTTGTTGCACTAAATACAGCTGTATAACATTGTGTTTCATGGCATTGACTATGTAGTTCCGTGCTGTAGCAGTACATTGTGTAAAGCTGTATAGCGGTGTGTAGTGCTGTGCCGCTCTGTGTTGTGCGGTTTCATGTTGCGTGCTGCAGAGCTGGGTGGGCAGCATAGTGCCACGTTACCCTGTGCTGCATATTTTGCCATGCACTGCTACACTGGCACTCCACCCCACCCCTCCACCAGCTCCCCCTTACCAGGCCCCCATTCCCCTTGGCTGTTGCACAATCTGCATGGCACACACGATGTCATCGTTGATGTTACTGGTCAGCAAATCTGGTGGTGGGGAAGGAGAAGAGAGTGAGGATAGGGCATAACCCTTGGTAGCTCAACACCGTAGCATGGGAGCCCTGGTCCTCCTAGCAGGAGATACCACCATTCAGCCAACCAACCCAGCCCCCGTTGTGCTGCCCTCTGCTGTCCACTGAAGGCAAGGGTGACCTTCCTTTGCCATTTCAAAACGTCTTGGGCCTGACGTTGGTTCCCCTGACTACCAGGAGGACTTGCCCCCTACAGGGCCCCACCCTGCTCCCTGCCGCACAGGTCTCTAGCACTGAGCCATGGCCTAGGGGTCAGGACCAGGACTGGAAAGGAGTTACTCACCACTGCAGTGCATGTGACAGAGGTTCCGGGCGGAGCGCTTATAGTCATCACACCACTGGCGGCTGTTGATCTGGAAGATGCCGTTGTCAGTGCTGCCATCAGCTTCATGATCCACGGTGTCCGTGTTGAACCGGCTTTCATGGAACGCCATGCACAGCCCTGGTACAGGATTTAGTAATATACGGGGAGGGCGGGGGGAGGGATATGCACAGAGCCCCATGCAGGATGGGGCCGGGGGAGTAGGGTGACCAGATGTCCCGATTTTATAGGGACAGTCCTGACATTTGGGGCTTTGTCTTATGTAGGTGCCTATTACCCCCGACACGGTCCCCATTTTTCACACTTGTTGTCTGGTCACCCTAGGGGGAGGGATACACATCGAGCCCCATGGGGAGGGCAGGAGGAGGGATACGCACTGAGCCCCATGGGGAGGGAAGGGGGAGGGATACACACAGAGCCCCATGGGGAGGGGAAGGAAATATATGTACAGCCTCATGAGGAGGCCAGGAGATCACTCACAATCAGCCAGGCTGTAGCCTCGGAACCCATCCATCCCTGCCTGGTGCAGCACCTGGGCCAGCTCGCAGCGCCGGAAGATCTTTCCCATGTTCCCCACAAGGAGGCAGGCCACGATGGACAGGAGCACGAGAGCTGCCATTCCTGCAGCGTGGCCAGAGCTGGAGGCTGCACTCTAGGTGATGTCTGAGCACAGCTGGGGCCCCAGGCCCAGCACAAGCTGCTTATACAAGGTGCACTGTGAAGGAGGAGGCAAGCAGTTGGGTTAGTGTCTGTTGTGGGACCTTACCATCAGCAGGGCAACCATAGTAATGAGAGCCTGGAGCCTGTCTGCCCACTCTGCTGGGCAGCCCTCAGACTAGGCGCCATGGCTAGGCCAGCGAAGAGGGCCCAGGGGGCCAGCACTGCGTGGAAGCTGACAGCCCCGGGGATCATGGAGTGTTGTCAGGGCTGCATGGGTGCTGATGGCTGTCCTTCCCCCTTTGTGGGCCTAGCTGGAATAGGAACTGTGAGTTTTGGCCCCTGCCTGGATTCTTGGATCCCGTTCCAGATAGCTGCTCACTGGGCCTGTGGAGTGTAGAGCAGCAGCAAGTCCCAGATTCCTCCTGAGTGCCAAAGTCAGGGCTAGTGTTCCAGAACCCCCTGGGAACTTGTGATGTCATGGCTTCACTGCTTCTAGAACCTTCCCTGTCTGAGGCATGGGTCTGTTGTCACTACTGGGCCTACAAAGTGTACCCTTACTGTGAGCTCCAAGATAAAAGTATGGTTCTAGCCCCAGCTTCAGGGGTGGAGCCGGGGAGTATTGGTCTACTGTGTTAAAGCTGATCAAGTACAGCTACACCAAAAGTTCTAAGTTACAGTCTATCTTTCTCCTTGTGGTGACAGACAATTCATATCACTTCTAGGGTGCAACAAACAGAAAGAAAAACAACAGAAAAGTACCTGGGGATTACAGTGGACGAGAAGCTGGATATGAGTCAGCAGTGTGCCCTTGTTGCCAAGAAGGCCAATGGCATTTTGGGATGTATAAGTAGGGGCATTGCCACCAATCGAGGGACATGATCATTCCCCTCTACTCGGCACTGATGAGGCCACAGCTGGAGTACTGTGTCCAGTTTTGGGCCCCCCCAGTACAGAAAGGATATGGACAAATTGGAGAGAGTCCAGCGGAGGGCAACGAAAATTATTAGGGGGACTGGGACACATGACTTATGAGGAGAGCTGGAGGGAACTGGGCTTATTTAGTTTGCAGAAGAGAAGAGTGATGTGGGATTTGATAGCAGCCTTCAACTACCTGAAGTGGGGTTACAGAGGATGGAGGTAGGCTGTTCTCAGCGGTGGCAGATGACGGAACAAGTCTCAAGTTGCAGTGGGGGAGATCTAGGTTGGATATTAGGAAAAACTTGGAATGCTCAGCTTTGTGGTTCACACAGCAAGCTTACACCCTTCTCTGAGAATGTATTCATCTTTCGTATGGCAAGAAAGGTGATTAGAGATATTCAAATAACCTAGTCCAGATTAGTGAGCCAGAGGGCACCTTCGGAAATGGCTTGATGTAAATCTGATATGCCAGTAGCAAACAATCAAAGTGAGCACTGATTTACAGTGTGGTCCATAATTTGTGACTGGTGTCAACAGTCACAATGTGTGTTGACTCGCATCTTCCAAAGGTGTATGAGATGACAGCATCTGCCATGCAATGTTCTAAAATGGTTCACTGGACTCGCCTTGTACATCAGTCATGAATCATAGAATCATAGAATATCAGGGTTGGAAGGGACCTCAGGAGGTCATCCAGTCCAACCCCCTGCTCAAAGCAGGACCAATCCCCAATTAAATCATCCCAGCCAGGGCTTTGTCAAGCCTGACCTTAAAAACTTCTAAGGAAGGAGATTCTACCACCTCCCTAGGTAACGCATTCCAGTGTTTCACCACCTTCCTAGTGAAAAAGTTTTTCCTAAATATCCAATCTAAACCTCCCCCACTGCAACTTGAGACCATTACTCCTTGTCCTGTCCTCTTCTACCACTGAGAATAGTCTAGAACCATCCTCTCTGGAACCACCTCTCAGGTAGTTGAAAGCAGCTATCAAATCCCCCCTCATTCTTCTCTTCTGCAGACTAAACAATCCCAGTTCCCTCAGCCTCTTCTCATAAGTCATGTGTTCCAGACCCCTAATCATTTTTGTTGCCCTTCGCTGGACTCTCTCCAATTTATCCACATCCTTCTTGTAGTGTGGGACCCAAAACTGGACACAGTACTCCAGATGAGGCCTCACCAATGTCGACTAGAGGGGGACGATCACGTCCCTCGATCTGCTAGCTATGCCCCTACTTATACATCCCAAAATGCCATTGGCCTTCTTGGCAACAAGGGCACACTGCTGACTCATATCCAGTTTCTCGTCCACTGTCACCCCTAGGTCCTTTTCCACAGAACTGCTGCCTAGCCATTCGGTCCCTAGTCTGTAGCTGTGCATTGGGTTCTTCCGTCCTAAGTGCAGGACCCTGCACTTATCCTTATTGAACCTCATCAGATTTCTTTTGGCCCAATCCTCCAATTTGTCTAGGTCCTTCTGTATCCTATCCCTGCCCTCCAGCGTATCTACCACTCCTCCCAGTTTAGTATCATCCGCAAATTTGCTGAGAGTGCAATCCACACCATCCTCCAGATCATTTATGAAGATATTGAATAAAACCAGCCCCAGGACCAACCCTTGGGGCACTCCACTTGATACCGGCTGCCAACTAGACATGGAGCCATTGATCACTACCCGTTGAGCCCGACAATCTAGCCAACTTTCTACCCACCTTATAGTGCATTCATCCAGCCCATACTTCTTTAACTTGCTGACAAGAATACTGTGGGAGACCGTGTCAAAAGCTTTGCTAAAGTCAAGAAACAATACATCCACTGCTTTCCTTTCATCCACAGAACCAGTAATCTCATCATGATTTTAAAGATATTTCAGTTCTGGAATAATACAAGACCAGTGTGTCTCTGTTGCTGCAATAAGTGTCGGACAACTGACCATAACAAACCTCCAAATAATGAATGGCCAAAGCTTTCACTTCTGTCTTTTTCCCACCCTGCTGCTTACGGTGGTTACCTTAATAGCCACCACTTACAACGGGGCTATAGTACTGCCCTGCCCTCAGGTGACCAACCATCAGACCCGCCCTTTAAATTCTCTGGGAATTTTGAAAATTCCCTTCCTGTTTGCTCAGCAAGGCGTGGAGTGCTCTCAGCTAACCTTTCCAGGTGACCATGCCTCCACGCACCACGTGATCCCCAGTATGGAGCAATGGCGAGGTGCTGGACCTCATCAGTATTTGGGTGGAGGAAGCTGTCCAGTCGATTCCTTCGAGCAGATATCAAGGGACACGATGGAAAGGAGCCATGACCAGGACGCACTGCAGTGCAGGGTTAAAGTGAAGGAGCTATAGAACGCCTACCACAAAGCCTGCAAGGCAAACCGCCGCTCCAGTGCTGTCCCCACGACCTGCCATTTCTACAAAGAGCTGGATGCAATATACTTGGGGGCAACTCCACCTCTACTCCAAGGACCACCCTGGTCACTTCAGAGCCCAGTTCAACAAGGCAGGAGGAGGAGGAGGAAAGCAGGAGCGAGGGTGCTGAGGAAGAGGGAGACACCCCGGCATCCCTAGATGCATGCAGCCAGGAGCTGTTCTCAAGCCAAGAGGAAGGTAGCCAGTCACAGCGGCCGGTGCTTGGGGAAGGACAAACACCAGAGGAGGTTCCCAGTAAGCAGCTTTTATTTTGGGAAGGAAGTTGTTCAGTGCGGACTCTTGGGGCAAGGAGGGTTAGGGATACATGCATGCCTAGATGCGGAATAGGACGTTGATGTGCTCTTTCACATTCCGGTACAGCTAATTCAGACCCATCAGTTTGTATGTATAGTTGGGATTGTGTTTTCCAATGTGTATCATTTTGCATTTATTTACATTGCATTTCATCTGCCATTTTGTTGCGCAATTTAGTGAGATTCCTTTGTAACTCTTCCCAGTCAGCTTTGAACTTAACTATCTTGAGTAAATGTTGTATTGTCCACAAATTTCACTACCTAGCTGTTTATCCCCTTTTCTAGAGCATTTCTGAATATGTCGAACAGCACTGGTGCAGTGCAGGTCCGTAGGGGAACCTGGCTATTTACCTCCCTCCATTCTGAAAACTAACCATTTAGTCCTACCCTTTGTTTCCTATCTTGTTTGGAAGTCTGGATCCCAGCTTCCATTTTTGCTGCAGCAGGGCAGGGAGCACTTTCTGTTACGCAGTAAATATCATTATGGGATTCAAATGCTGACCGCCTGGTCCATTTGAGGACTTCAATACCCGTGTACCACTGTCAGATAAAAGTGCTGCTTCTCTAGCTCAAGTAGCTATCTGTGCATGTGGCTAGGATTTGAACCTGTGGCTACTTGCCTATGAGACAGACAGCTTTCAGTAGCCCAAGGTGTTTGTACTGGCTTGCTAAGCAGAAAGTTCTGATTTTAGCAGCGATATTATGGTGTTCACTCCACACTGACCTCCTTGGGAAGGAGGTGTGTTCCGTAGCCTCTAGAGGGAAGACTGCCAAACACTCTGTTATGAAGCCAAGTTTGCCTTGCCTTTGTTATGCTCCCAGACTCTCCAGATTGGAGCATTTTATTGGAGAGAAAAGATTGAGCCAGGCCCCTCTGCCTTGGCTGTCCCACCACAGCTAGTGATGGAATTCGCTCTAGTGGAGCAGTGTGTCCATTGGGAGGGGGAGGCAATGACAACCCCTGCGGGATTCTCGCCAGACAAAAACCCTTCAGAAGCAAGAGTTGAGGCAGTTGCATCTGAAGAAGTGGGCTTTTTACCCACGAAAGCTTATGCCCAAATAAATCTTAGTCTTTAAATTGCCACCGGACTCCTCATTGTTTTTGTGGATACAGACTAACATGGCTACCCCTCCGATAGTTGAGGCAGACACACCCCAAAAGCCCTCAGGGAAGGAAGCAGCCTTCCCCATCCCATGCAGAGATGGTCTGTGACAATCTGAATGACCTTGAACAGGATGGAAGAGGGAGAAATCTTCATCTCACCTCAGCATGTGGGAACAAAGGTTAACCCAGCGGGAGGATGGGGAGGTCAATCCACTACTCCCTGTACCCAGAGAACCTGGGAGGATGCCACAGGATCCCCAGGCCCTGACCTGAGAGGAGATGGAGCAGAGTAG